GGGGGGGGGGGGGGGGGGGGGGGGGGGATTTAGGGAGGTTCGAGCCTGCCTTTTTTCCCAGGGAAAAAGTCTGTTTTTGGTAAAACGTGATCTAGGCATACGAGTAAAATCTAAATGTGCAATATTTCAGAAAAAGACCCTTTTTTAAATAACTGGCTACGGGCGGGCCTGATATTATAGCCTCGAATTGTCCGTCCTCTTCCACTATTTCATTTACCGAATGAAGCTTGGTGATTTTGTCTCCTTTCCTCTCCATTAAACCGAGGCACCTGTTTGTGACTGATTCCCTAAAAAACTTCACCCGCATCAGTTTCGTCAACATTCTCTGCCAGGAATCCTTTGTTTTGACATATGCAAACTGATTCTGTTTACGCTCTGAAAATATAGAGGTTTGGAATAATTGCCAGACGGAAATTGTCATGTTTGAAAAAGAAGCATTTTTATTTGTGCCGTACGTCGCACACGTTTTTTTTTTTTTTTTTTTTTTTTTCAAAATATTCAACAGGAAATTCAACCAAAGGCTCGTGCAAACACAACCTTTTGAAACACATATCATATGTCCATCAACAGAAAAATACTGACACCATGTTACGTTATTTTTTATACTTTTTGTCATCTGCAATATGAAATATTATACATGCAAGTCGTGGTGTGAATCCAACAGTTCAGTGAAAAAGATCCAGCTGTAATACTATACATATATGTGCTAGTAGCGTTTATTGATCCTTGGTACGTTGTATATTACACAGTTGCTGACATTGACCGGTGTGTAAAGCAACATATTGATAAAATGCAGTCATCCGAGAGTCTAACGTCAGAGACAAGTGTTCAAGACATGTTGTTTTTTTTGTGTTATAAAGATAAGCTGTTTTACTTTTATTTTGCTGTATGCTTGAAATGCAGGTATAACATTTTACTGAGATATGTCGAAATTTAATTCACCAACTTGAAAGAAGAAATAATTTTCAGCTCTTTCTTTGTCTTTTCCATTACGTTTTTATGGTCATTTTGGATTCTACCTACTCATACAGCATTTCTGAGATACGTCGAGATTGCGCATGCGCATCATGAATTCACATTTTATAGACGGGGAGACCATTTTGGGATTTTGCGACATTGGTTTCATGCGGAGTTAGTCTGCGGATCATCTGTTGTGATTGCAGCCCAAATTTGTCTAAAAAGTTGTGATTTACAGTAGCTGGACAAAATTTGGACGCACTCAATTTTACCATCTTGATCACTCATTTTGTTCTGTCAAAAAGCTTGAGGTCACTTTGAGATATTGATAAACAACGTTAATCAACTTCTTAACGTGGTGCAAATAATGACAGTCCTAATCTCGCACAAAAAAAACACTATTAAAGGTAGTACAGCAGTTGCTAAGTCTGTTAGTAGCGACTGATTGGGCTGCAGCACAATTTGCTGAGGCAGACTGTCAGGAGTTAGGAGTGGAGGAGGGCTTTAAATTAATTTCTTCATGTACATATTTGTCGACCAACCGAATCAATCTCCTTCACCCACGGCACAGAGACGGATTTGGGAGGAGAGGGTGGCAAGGGGTCCTGGAAAAAACACACCAATAGCCCCCTCTTGAAATTAGAATTTTGGCTAGCGGAATCATAGTTCTAAACCGTACCAAATGGCACCGTTCACCCTTTAAAAGACCAAAAATTTTCGGGCCCTTTCAGCGGGCCCCGAACCCCCTTTAAATAATCTCCGACGGTGCCGCCCCTTCCTCTGGGACCCCCAGTGAAGCAGTGAATATACCACATGCGGCAGTATTTGAACCCTTTGGTCGTCGACTCTCCCGCTGTGCCTATCTGCCATTGCAGCGTCACTTTAACTTATTATTATTATTATTATTATTATTATTATTATTTTGCCATGACTTTCCGTGGTCAATTTAAAAATCAGAGCACCGACAGGGTCACTTTCCATGTCCCACGCATTGCATGGTTCCTGTTGATAATAAGGGCAGTTATCATTTCCTATATTGTAACATAGCTGTAGCTTCCCTTTTTCAATAATATCCTTTCGAATAAAAATGTCGTCAACAGCTTTTTTTAACCTCTTTTATTCAATATTAAGCAAAGCTAAAAGAAGGAAATGATTTAGACCTCATAAATATGCACAATCTTTTTTATCATTTTAAATATTTGAAATAAGCAAACAGAACTTCAAAATGTCTCTCTAACCCTCTCACTTGCATGTAACACATATTCCACACATTAAAGATTGTTACATTTCAATGAAAAGTTTTAAATTTAAATCCCTCTTATATATCAGAAGAACAATAATTAAGTCTACGTTTGAATAAAAATACCACCACAACCTCGTATATGTCTTCACAGTAACAATACACACATAAGCACCCTGCCTTGGTAAAATAATGTGGAACAGGAAACAAATCAGTCTTTCGCTATAACTAATCACTAAATATTCATTCTAATCAATATCCCATATAAATATGGTGGACAGAAACAATGTTCAGAATGCAGCAGAGGTAAACTGATTAAGATCTAATAAATACAAATGTATATACCAAGGTAAATACACCATTTTCTATCATTTCGCTCACTTGAAGAATTCCAAATTTGAAAACAGTGCCTCAAAATATCACAAACATTACCATTACTATTCTGTCCGTTCAAAGATGTTTTTAAAATTAAAATTGGAAAAAATGTTTTAATTTGAATCACTGTAATATATCAAATGCGAATACTAATTTAATCTACATTGCAATACATATGTTATGGGAAAATAAGATATTACACAGACACATACATTATATGCCCTACCAAATAATTTGCTATAAGCACCCTGTCTATTACTAAAATAATTAAATGTATAAGTATGATCGCATGAAAAAGAACCCATTGGTATCAATAACTGACCAATTATTCCACAGTAAATGAAAGTCAATTAGCATAATTGAAGGAAACAGTATCTGAACCATAAAGATCCAAGAATCAGGCATTTTTGTAAAGTGAAATTGCAGTTCGCGTTCCCAATTTTCATCCTATTCCTGTGGGTTTCAGTCCTGTTTGTTGTCTCTGTTTGCCTAAACGTTTTCTTTGTCCTATTTCATGTTTCGTTTGTCCTTGTTCATGTTCTTTTTATCATCGTCAACGTTCGAACTTTGTCATAATTCGTCCAAGATTAAGGAATTAAGAAAGGTGTCCAGTCCTGGGGAGGATCAGGTGCCGCCAAATTAACACAGTCGTTGTCCGGGTCGCCATTGAAGTCCGCGCAAATACCACGTAATGCATGAGGGCCACCGGCTGCCCACTGACCGCTCACGAATATCCTAACACTGTGCCGATAGACAAGGACGAACATGTATGGGTCCATTTTGCAATCTATCTTGAATATTTGAACTGAAAAATAAACCCACGCGGTCCCATCTGGAGGGGGGAAATTAGCTGGTAGCCCTGCGGCATCGATGGGAACCCATGCAGCGCCATCCCAATACTGAAAGCGAAATGCAAGAATGTTAACATAGCGCTATGAACTGTGTGTAATTAACATTTCAACAGCAACTATTAGAGAAACGAGAATAAGGGGTATAGTTATTAACTTGGTGCAAAAGGTGCTCAGTGTATTAAAAACTGTAAGAAAGAAGACTCACATATAAGTTGACACGCCCCCCCAATGTAGCCCTGAAGTAGATGTTAGTTGGACACTTCACATATACTTCTTTGATGCGTGTGGCATTTGGTCCACCATGTAACTCGTGCTCAGTTATCACCCACCACGGATTTCCTATCCAAGGAAGGATCATAACGCCGTATTTTTCAACTGGAGAAGGATATCTGAACTGTCTGTCATCTAGAGTGTCGTAACGTACATCGCCGTGTCCCCAGCAAGCGGAATCATTAACTACATAAACATAAAAATGTTAATATTAACTGAGAATGTCACTTCTACATGTACATGTAAGTATGATGTGCTATGTTCCATGGATTTTTGCATTTAAGCTTCAAAAAGCTTAAACAACGGTATGAATTAAGTTTCTTGTTCTGCTTAGTAAAGAAGTAAAAAAGGTGAATATATATATATATATATATATGTCAAAGACCCGGATCAAATCTAGTCCCATGTATAAAAAACCCAGACCCCATGTTTATTACACCCTGGCTGGGTCCATTCTTTATGGTGTCTTTGCATTATTAACAGCATAATGGGCAAGTTAAATGACCAAGCTGCCGGTTTGTTTGTATGTCATGTGCAGGGGATGTCTTAGCTCAAGGCACATATTATGATACTTACAGGTGTGGCAAATGAGATGTACTTGTATTTCATTACCTGTGATTTGTAAAATACATCAGAGGATGATACTTTTAAAGATGTTTAATGTTTAAAGAAAAGACATGTAGATTGATTTAGTAACATTTACTAAAGAAATGTTAAATTAAAGGTGGGTTTCATTTGTGCCTTGATCAAAGACATCTCCTGCACATGCCATACAAACAAACTGGCAGCTTGGCCAATTAACTTGGTCATTTAACTTGCCCATTATGCTGTTAACAATGCAAAGACACCATAAAGAATGGGCCCAGCCAGGGCGTAATAAACATGGGGTCTGGGCTTTTTATGCATGGGACTAGATTTGATCCGGGCCTTTGACATATATATATATTAAGAGTAAAAGTATTTTTCCTGTACGAGTATGACTTTACGGTATTCCCATTTTATAAATTCACTAGGGAAACAACCCAAACAGAAAGGGAAATTAAAGAAAATATATTTATCAATAAGTATAAACCTACATTAAACAGGTAACAGCATTTGTAAAAGCAACAATGAAATACCCATTGTTAGAAACATCACATTCAGCCTTTATGACATCATATAGTAACCAAAATAAACAAACCCCCTGAAAATGCAATGAAACCGGTCGGGGCAAAATAGCTGCTGTTCTTTTTTTCTTTTTATTATGTATATATATATATTTATATATATATATATGTTTTGTTTCGTTTAATGCCGTTCCCCATGTGCAGAGTCTTTCAGAGAGATGAGAATGATCCTATAGCCCTCTGAAGCCACAGGTGTAAAAGAGAAAACCTTTTTACTCAGTTTAGGTGTAGGTTTTTAAAATGCATTCAATCTACAGACTTGACATTTAATATGGAATATTTCAGTTTCGAAGGTATGCCTAGGTAAAAATTGCATTCTTTTTTCAAAAAACTCCGATCTCATATAAGATATGTGAATGGAGAAGTGTGTAGTCAGGTGTGTCGCTTCCAATTAACTGAATACCAGGTTAGTTGCGCTGCTGCATTATGTAATATGCAGTGATTTAATTGGGTAGTGCTTCTTTGGGCAGGTCAAAGCTTGGCTTTGGCAAAGCATGGTTCTGTCAAAAAAGTATCCATATGTCGGCAACTACTGCATAGAAGAATTTAAAATTTTGCATGCAGGTGGTCGGTTTTGCAAGGTGTAAAATGAGCTATGCAGTGCTCTGCATATTTGTTTATCTGTGGCAGAATGGCGCGAAAAAGACAGACATTGCCAGACAGAAAATTGCGCCAAACGAAACGGTCCGCACAGTTTTATAGAGTAATGCCCAGACTGATGTACCTACACAGAGGCCACAACCAACGTATTGAAATCTTACCACCAGGATACAGGACCCACTGTCTGTCGGGATATGCTATTGCAACTAAACAAAAACCACCCAGTCCGTTCAGAATGAGGGGTAAATTGCCACCAAAACGCATTTTTCAAGGCCCTTAGCGAATACCAAACTGGTTTTAGCTGGTTAGAATACCAGACGACCTCAGGGGAACCCACTGTAAACAGCAAAACATCGTTGTATGTTTCTCTAATGAATTGGGGACCCTGATCGTTTCTGAGTTGAACACTGAAACCTCGTGACTTTCTTTATTGAGGTCAGCTTTCACCTGTACCGCTCAACCAGTCAAAACAGGGTTTACAGACATCAAGAAGAGGCCAACGACTAAGCGTGTGCCGCGTCTAAAGTGACTAAGGTCATTAACAGCGTCAGTAATTGGAGTGGATACCACATTGGTGCCAAAACACCAATGATGGTCATCCACGAAAACCTGAACCAGATCAAATAAAGGAATAATCTGAGAACCACTTGACTATCATTTGATAGGGGGCACCTTAGGAACAATTTTAGGTTGCACGGTGGAATTCCCGGTACACACATAGCACTTTTAATAGCAGATTACTTACAAAACCAAGGGAATGAGCAGCTACCTTGGTAATCAAAATCGCCATATTTGAACCACATAGACAATATGTGGGTAGGCCATTACTCGCCGAATCAATGGCCTACATGTCCTACAACAAAACTGGACCAAATTGGACAGATTTTGACCGATGCCTGGAATGTTATTCCAGATTGAACTCTAAAAACCTAACCCAAGGAATGCCTTGCCACTTGAGAGCGCTGGTAGCAAACAGAAGAGGTCATGCTTAACAGCGACCGTTACTGTTACTAGACACTGACATGGGGGTTCTTTGTGAGGCGTGTATCTCTTTTACAGAAAATAATTTGGAAAATATGGAGATCCAAAATATCTCTTTTAATTGTTGTCGTATGACATAGAATAGGCAATGTGTTTTTGTTTGCTTCTCTGGCGAATTCCATTAATGAACTGATGTCACAATGATATCAAAGAGATAATTAAAAGTTATTAAAACACGATTTTAATCTTTATTTTCATTTATCAGTCAGCAAAATAGAACAAAATTGATGAAAAATGATATGGAAAAAAATATTCCATATTAAATGTCAAGTCTGTAGTTATAGGGTTTACCCTACTAACTGCAATAATCGATGTTTTTCTAATTAAGGCAGGCTCCATTTAATCTTGTCTATATCTCTGCATTTCATAATATAATCATTTGAGTTTCACACCTTGCCATACAAAAAGCTCGACATATCTTTTGATTGTCGCAATCACAGTGAACGTTGCATAACAGCAGCAGTGACAAAAACATACATTGCGTTTTCGACGGCAATCAAACTGTATTAAGCCTGTTGCTACTACTTACGTATTTCTGGTCCTTCTGGCAACGGTGCCATGACCAAATTAGGCATCAGCGCTATTTCAAGCTCTGACGGAATAGCAACGCCAACTACAGTCGCCCTCGGGCCAACATAAACCAGCACCATGGCCACGGCCAGTGACATAAGGCGTCGATCCATAACGAACAGTTATTTCGGCAAGTTCTCTTGGCAGTCGTCAGTGCAGAGATTTGTATACTTCTCAAGTTAATTAAACTTTCATTGAGGTGGAACAAAAACGACCAATGGATGTTCTGATAAAGATTAATTCTGACGTCAATTCTACACGTGTTCCGTGTGTCACGTTTTCATTGGCCTATCTAGAAAAGGGGCGGAGTCAGTTTATTAAAATGACATATTGCTCTTCATACGCCACCAGAAAAATTGGGAAACAGAATTACCTTTACAATGTCAAGGGGACACCGGAAGTTAAGAAGACCTTGAATGGTACGAAATGATGTGAAAAAAGCTTTCTTGAGTCATAAAACCAGGTTGACAAGCGTATTGAAAGATGAAGGCCGTGTTATTTATAGAACTTATAATCGCAATTCAAATTCTATTTTTTACCGATGAAAAAAAGCTTATAATCTCTCCCTGCCTATCCCTTCTAATACATCCAATTCATGATTGATCATTATCGATACCATGCACTGAACTGTCTGTTCGATGAGGTTTATTCGGTGTCCGTTCTTGAAAATCGATTCTCATTTTACATAATCTGATATTTTCCTAATAATGGGGGGAATTTTAAAAATATTACATTAATACACCTATAACTTAAAACTGAATATGCATATAAAGACAATATCAAAACCTAACAAATCAGTGCCAAGTGATTTATTAAATAACATATACTGTATAAACAAATTGTAATTTATTAACCTAGCTTTTTGTGGTAAGAAAGAAATTTATCTGAAGATAAGTGCTGGAGTAATATCAGAACAGCGTACAGTGCAAGTATCTACGAAGCTGATAGCATTTCAACTAAGCGCTAAATTAATGAAGTAATAATTTAAATTCTTGAATTCTTCGAAATATTTAATATATGAATGTTGAATTATTTTTCTCATCAATACGGGAATAAAATAAGCCAAAATATTTCATAAATACACCTACAATTTTAAAATAGATTTTGCATCTGTGCTGAGTAAAGCTGGGTAGATTGTTTTGGGACAAAACCACATAATGATACTGCAAAATTAAAAAAAAAACCATGCTTTAAAAAATCCTCTTTCCTTTTTTTTGTCATATTTTACCTTCTAGGACCTAACGAAAAAAGGACTTTTATGCTCGACACCCCCCCCCCCCCCAGAAGAAGAGAGAAACTGAAGCTTTACCAAATCGTTTTTCCCAATAATGCATTAAAGATCAGTATCAGCTAGAAGGGATGAGACTTGAATTAAAATATGGACACATCACCGACGTCCCAATCGCATGCGTAATGCGGTGAATAGTTAAAGAGGCAATTTCGTCATTCCACAATCTCGCACAAGGTCAGATAACAGCTGTTTGAATAAAAAGAATAGGCACCTGCTCCTGACGCTCTGTGGATACTAACGTGAGCATGAGTTTTCTTATGTCAAAGCTTATAATAACTGTTTATTTTGCTGATACGGGAAATTTAGTCTATAAAGAATGTCATTTGTTCAAGAAATAACGAAGGTACTAAAGAAAGTTAGTCGAAAATGACAAATATCTGACTAGAGTTGGCACCAGATGGAATTTAATTGACAGGGGGAGTTAGTTAAGTGAGAGTGGGTGGACTCGATATTGGATGGCACACCCACCGTGGGCTGTGACGAAGGCTTTGTTTCCTTGTTATTGTCATTAGTAGTGGGTTCTTTTTCATCTCGAGCTTTTTAATTACTGTTTAGGAGCCAAGGTAAAATGTGGGTGGAAAATCAAAGACGTCGCATATCTAATGTACTGAATGCGCCATAAGTTTCTTTTTGCCTGTATGTTTTGCAAATCAAATCCTTATTGCCTGCATAATAACCCGCTTTAATTACGTTCTATCTTAAATGTAGATGAAGTATATCAAATCAGTAAAATGAAACACTGCAGTTTTGGAAAATTTTTGTCATTTTTCATATAAGGAATATATGACGAACAATATAATATTTTGGATAATGACCTCATATCAGGGCCGCACCCAGGGCCCTATTCCAGAAAAGAATATATTTCTTATACACAGAATTTTAATGTGATTGTGAATCTGTTTTATTGACAAATATTAACAAGGTTATTTCAATGCTATTGGCCATGAAGAAGTTTTCTTTACTATGCTAATTGCCTTCTCTTGCCTTTAATGACCGTAGTCGATTTGATGACGCGGGTATAAGTAAACTATATGCTTTATAGTTTATACTTACAGCTTCACTCATGAATACCGTGTGTAATTATACCCTCAGAATCGGCATCACCGGTACAGTGTATTACAGGCATGGTAGTCCTAAGAATGGAAGTCCAGGAACCGATATGATTAGTATAGTACAGGTAAGTGTAAGTCAAGGTATATTCCGATTAGTATATAAGACGAATGACACCTGTATTAAAATGTATCTCCAAAAACGTCTAAATTATCCTGTGAAGATCCTCTGAAGAGGTCCTTTGCTAGAGAAATTGATGAAATCGAACACAACAGCACCATGCATTTTATGAAGCCATATAAGCTACCTGTTACTGTGCTCACCTATTTGTGGTCAGGGAATATTATATGTGATGCTGACAGCAGTTGGACTGAACGTTGCAGTTCTGTTCAATGTGTAGATTTTAAAAAATTCATGTATGTACATGTATATACATGGTTACTTTTCTCGTTAATAAGGGAATAAAATAAACACAGATACAGTGTATCTTAATCTTAATAATCTTAATAATAGCAACTACCCAGTTTCAGGTCCAGGGTCCTGTAACTCGAAAGCATCGCGTATTACGAATAGCGATATCACATAGAGGCTACAATGTATTATATGGGGCGAGTATGGGCGAGTTATGGAATCGAGACTCTTGCGCTCGGTCGCAGTGCGCGATGCTTTCGAGTTACGGGTCCCAGGTTTTTACAGTTTAAATCTTTAAGAAATACTTAATACATATTTTTCACTCTTATCTCATTATACATTTTTCAAAGCATCAATTAATGGGTGAATGCAGAGCAAATTGATCCGCCGACCAACAAATCCTGCTGATCCAACATGGCCGACCAACCTGAAAGCTTGCTGCATAATGCCTTAAAAGACACCGAAAAGATTCCCCACGGGGATTACGCGGTAGACTTTCAAGTGAGTCGGCCGTTTTTGAACATATAATTTGTTAGTCTGCATATCAATTTTGGTTGTGAATGCTGCCAATTTATCATTGCCCCATTCAGAATAGGTGATCCGAGGACTAACTGATCCGCCGACTAATTATGGCTGACCACACTTCTAAAGCAATATCGCTGATTTCCGATGATCTCCCCGCCACCACACGCGCCATTCAAGAGATTTATACCACGGCTGGCGCTTTAAATAGTAGGATAATTGCACTTGTATTTTGCGTACAGGTTTGTCTGTATTTTCATTCTCTTCGGTTCGTTTTTTCTATTGTTGGAAGCGCCAGTCGTGGTATAAGTCAGATGTAATTACGTTCTTGTATGTCGCAAACATTGGACGATTCGTATTGTAACTAGTACTAAATCTCGGCTCCGAGGTTTAATTGCTAGAGCTCTGCAGCGACGGCGAGTGTGGAGGCAGGAAGACCATCATGGAAATAGCGGCGTCGGCCATATTTAGACGGCGGATCAGTTAGTACTCGGATCATCTATCCGAATGGGAGACCATTCGGGGATTGTGCGAAATTGCTTTCAAGAGGGGTTGGCCATATTCGTTAGTCTGTAGCAGGACGCAATCGATTTCACCATCTTTATCACTCATCTCGATCACATTTCAAAAAAGCCTGAAGTCAGTTTGAGATATTGATAAATCAACGTTAATCAACTTCCTGACGTGGTGCAAATAATGGTATTTCTAATTTTGCACAAACAACACAATTAAAGGGCGATCTGCAGTTGCGGAGTCTGTTGGCGGTGACTGATTTGGCTGCAGCACAATTGCAATTTGCTGATGTAGAGTTTAATGCGGGAAGGGAGGGGGCGGTTTCTGTTAAATACCTTCATGTGTAAATTTACTGACCAACCAAATCAAATGCCTTCGTCCATGGCAATCTCCGACGGTGCCGTCCCTTCCCCCAGGACTTCAATGATTATACCGCATGCGGGAGAGTCGACTCTCCCACATTTTATGTAATTTTTTTTTTCAAAATTTTATTATTATTATTATTATTATTGTTGTTGTTGTCGTTGTTGTTTTTGTTATTTTGCCCTGACCGTTCGTGGTCAATTTGAAAATCAGAGCGCCGATGGGGTCACTTTCCATTACACACGCGTTGCATGATTGTTGTTGATTATAAGGCAGTTAACAATTCTCTTATTGAAACATAGCTGTAACTTCCTTTTTTTCAACAATTTCATTTACAAGTAAGGAATGCCATCAATAACTTCTTGAACCTTCTTTATTCAAAATTAAGCATAGCTAAAAGAAAGAAATTTTAACGACATACACAATATTTTTTATCATTTTGCTCATTTAAAATATTTGAAATATGCAAACAGAACTTCAGAATATCTCTCTAACCCTCTCACTTAACATATATATCCATCCCATGCATTAAATATTGTAACATTTGAAAAGAATATTTAAAATTTAAGTCCCTCTTATATATCATAAAAGAACAAAAGAATAATAATTAAGTCACCAAGGTAAATAATTGAGACATAAAAAAATACACAATTTTCTATCAATTCGCTCACTTGAAGAATACCAAATTTGAAAACAGTGTCTCAAAACATTACGTTTACTTAGCATAAATATTCTGTCCATTCAAAATTGATTAATAGGAAGGATGTTTTCATTTGAGTCACTGTAATATATCAAATGCGAATACCAATTTAGTCTACATATATACATATGTTATGGAAAAAATAAGATGTTACAAAAACATACATTATATGCGCAACATATAATTTGCCATAAGCACCTCGTCTATTACTAAAAAAATTAATGTATAAATATCAAGACATGAAAAAAAAACTACGGCATATATAACTGACCAATCATTCTACCGTAATC